CCTGGGACGATCGTAATTCCCCGCAAATCCTCACCATTAAACTCCTCTATACTTCGACTCCTCGTTCGAGTAATCTCGTTACTCCTGATAATGTCCTTGCGGAATTATCCCTCGAGCAAGGGGGTTGCTGATTCACGGTTCTTTACCTTTCCACAGGGCACTAGGGATAATTAAGATAGTATGAAAGCGACGTCAATTGTCACTGTTCATGAAACTTGGGTCAACTATGAAACATATCTAAAAACTGGATGTACTATATTTTTTTTCTTTCAATTAATTTCTATTAAAAATTGAAATATTTTATGTAGACGAATTTAGGAGTTAAAAAAATCTGAGGGCAGGGAGATTTCTTCCCTTTGAGGGAAGTTATCGCAATCGATCATTTCGGGAGGAAGGGCGGCTAATCCGGGAATTTTCTACAGGCCCCATGGAGCATCCCCATAAATCTAGGGACAATTTGTCCGACTTTTCCATCCCTCTTGCCCCCCTCGGCACAGGTGAGGTGTCCCTAGGGCCTCGTAGCCGTTCGGAACCGCAGACCGGCCAAAAACAACCCTTTGTCCCGCGACCTAGCCCAAAAATATACAAATCGATCGATCGACTCGCGGGAACTCGCGGCTGGGAAAAAGAAAAAAAAGGGATCGATGGAAACAGAGGATCGAGCATCCCGATAATAAAATCAGAGCAAAATGGGTCGGGAGGCACAAATCAGTCGGGGACACTTTCCTGGCCGATCGCGCGACCGGGTAGAATAATTTATAGGCAGTTAATATTTATTTGTTGACCGGATGAGAGGCGTTTCGTAAAACCAAGTATTTCTCCTCTTCTGGCGCAAGACCGTGTCGACATATTTGTTTACTGTCCGAGCACGCGGTCCGACATGACGACAGGAAAGCCGAGCCCTTTTTCGACATTTTCCCACTGAAACGATCAACGGATGACTCGAAACTCGGCCAGCGATTTCAAAAACATCTAGACCTTCTGAATATGAAAAAGAAGAAAGATGATTGACAGATTGCCCAATCGAGGACCTCGCGGCGGAATAAACGCGCATTAAAAAAGCACTCAGTCCGGCATGTCAGAAAAACCGGGCCCTTCTTCGACTTTTTTCCAACACAATCGACGAATGACTTGAAACTCGGTAAGGGATTCCAAGAACATCTAGACCTTGTAAATGTAATTAAAAAAAAAAAAAAAAAAAAAACTGAACTACAGCCTACGAAATCGAGAATTCCACGGCGAAACGAGCACACGGGCTCGAGGGTCATACTTTTAGCTACCATTATTTTTTACGTTTTTACCACAGACTCTTAACTAACGCGTTATTGTCAATGCGTTATTTCACAGCGTTGACCAAGGTCCGGTGACGTAAGGAGGACTAAAAAGTCTCTTAGCGTGCTCAAAAAGTGGACTTCGCCACGAGAGCGCCGACCAGGCTCGGTTGCATCCTGGTCGTTCGTCACTATCGCCGATAAATTTAATCAATCAGCAATAAATATCCCCGTTTCGTGGAAAACGTCGAGCGGTCTCTCTGAAAATAGGAGCCAACGAGTGGCGGAGCACGTCCGACCGTGCGAAATCGAGATATCTCGATGCGCACGCCAGGAGGGTCAAGGCAGTCGACTGGATGCAATTGCACCGTTCTAAGACTTCCGAGGATGCAATTACCCACTTACAGTAGTGCGACGCAACCTGTCGGTAGGGGGGATCGTAAAAAAGGACGCGAAAGATACAATGGTCATGCAAATGGGCACCCTAGATCCCCAACGGCGAGAGAGGTGCGAGGGCGGTGCATCCCGGCCGATGCACCGAGCAAGTGCATCAGGTGACGCGCGCGTACACGCGTGTCATCGACTCCGATTTCAATGAAAGCCTGGAAAAAGTGTCGAAAGTCGACGGTAAACTCGACGGTAAACTCGACGTGCCCGATGCACCCGATGCACTTGCCGCAAGACGCACTGCATTTATAGGTCCGCATTTCATGAGCTCGACTGCAACGAGGTCCGAGCCCGAGTGAAGTCTTCACCTCTCTCCCTTGCCGAAGGATAACCATATTAATTAAATATTTAGGGCCGATAAATCGAGGGGAACGAGCGGACAAGTTTGCGCCTCCCAGAGTTGGGCAAGACGTGAGATGCATCTCTCGGGTGCACCTAAGAGAGGCTGCGTTTATTGCCCTCATCTTGGAGCCCTCGTAAAATCTTCCTCGTCTCCTTTTAGCGGGCAGATATTTTAATCGGATGTTTACTATCGTTTATGAGTGACGGTTTTCGACGAGGCGCGAGCTGAATCCTTATTTGAAATTTTTATCATACTTAGAACCTCTAATTATAGGTGTTAGATAAGTTATGAGATAATCCAGGAAAGGTGACTGCGATGGGATCATAGTTTAGGCCTTGAGAGTGATGGACATTTTCACGTCTTCTACTTATAAGCCTAAATTAGGAATTAATTAGTATTATAATTATGACTCTTAAGGTCGAAGGTGGGACATGAAGAGCTAGATAAGCCCAGATGAAGTCTTACTTCATATTTTCAAGGTAGGGCTAAATTCTCGACGCGGATATTAAAATGACGTAAAAGCGTCTGAGGAGTCAAACGCCCATACAAATTTTTCAAAAAATGGAAAAAATTGTTCGTAAAAAAAAAGAAGCGAAAATCTGAAATTTAACGAGTGTCGGGACCTTACCTAGGGCTTTTACATTTGCGAGGAAAAACTTCAAAAGATTCGGTACATCCAGTTCGGAAAAAAGTTTTCTAAACGAGACCCCTTGGATGCTATTTTCGCGTCGCCTTAAAGTCTGGATGAAAGGTCCCTAAAAAAATTGCAGAAAAATCGGGAAAAAAAATTACAGATGTAAGTTCGAATCATCTTCGACCTTTTCCCGGATACCTAGAAGGTCGGGTCGAAGAATCTTCGAGGAAGAGCGGCATTTCGCCTCGTAATTGGAGGAGCGTTGAGGCGAGTGGAAATCTCCGCGAGGGCAGGTCGTAACCTGGCGTGCCAGTTGTACAGCTGTACAACTGTATGGCTGTACTGCCAGCTGTCCGTGTGGGGCTCGTTACTTCGACTCGACGAGGCCTCGGATGGCGATAACGATTTCCCGGGCGATAACGGCCAGAAAGAGGTCCTCGTATAGACGGAGCTCACCCGGGTGGAGTATTTAGGGAGCCTGATCCTTTTTCCCCCACGTGCCCCCCCGAGTTCGTTTCCTCTCCCGATCTTCCGCCCTGTCGACCGTATATACGTGTATATAGACATAAATATATATACGGGCATGTACGGATATATATATGAAAATATATACGAGTCTCCCGAAGGACCAAGACGGCCGAGCCGAGCACAGCTTCTGAAGGAGCGGAGGGTCCTTCGATCCTATCGATCTATCGATCGATCGATCCCTCCTCGCCCACCGCCGCGTTTTCATTGCGCGATAATCGAGCCTCCCTGCTTTCCCGGCCATTTTTCCCACGGCGAAGGCTCTTCTCTCGCCAGGCGAGGTACTCTCTCGAAGGTGGAGTGAAACTCGGAAAATGGGAAAAAAATTGAGGGGACAGGTGTCGTCGCGATTGGCGATCCGGAGTGACTTTCGAGGGAGGAGAAAGGTAATTGGGATGAATTCGCCGGGAAATTTCTCACCTACGGGGGAGGGAATAATTTCCTTGGGGAGATTTCCCGGGGAAATTTACGAAATTTTTAGGTGGATTGTGATTTTCCAGGGAAAATTTGGGATTTTTTAGGAAAAGGGAGGAAGGTTTTCCTTGGGAAATTTCGGACCTCGGGAGGGAAATATTTCCTTGGGTAGATTTGGCCGGGAAATTTTCGCGACTCGCCTTTTCCGGGCCGCTCGCGAGGAAGCGTCTCCCGGAAATCCACATCCATCTTCCGGGAGAAATAACCGATCGCAGTTCCCTAGAAGAGGCGGAACGGATCCGCGACCCCGGGGGAAGGGTGACGGATCGATTATTCCTCGAGAGGAAGACGGAATCCGAGTTCAGCCCCGGCTCGCTTCCTGCCTACCCGGGACTTTCTCCTGGAACCGCTCGATCCGCGATCCCCTCCAAAGAGGAGAATCGTCGCAAATTACGTATCCCGACGAGAATCCCGAGTCAAGAAAATCCGCCCGGAAAAACGAAGAAAATGTAACGAAAAAGAAAAGGAACAAATTCCGCGGAAATCGGCGAGCCTCCATTTCGAGGGAACCCGTTCCCTCCTTTCTTCCATTCCAGATGAAGACTGGTTCGATTTGCCCAAGTACCCAATTACATACATGCAAGACTAATAAGGGGAATAAGAATTAAATAATTAAATCTAAATATACCAGAGAGAGAGAGAGAGAGTAGAGCGAGGCATCTCACCTAAAAGGTGACAGCGATGCTAAAAGAAATGCTAATAGGTTGAAATAAAAATACTGAAAATAAAGCAATAACCCTAAACATTGTTATGTAACTGAGTAGAGCGAAGTCGAAGACGTGGCGACTAAAGTGATAAAAAGAAATCGATAACCGGGGTGTAACCTGAAGAAATAATTGGGGATATCATAGAGAGTGGAATTTCGATGGAAAGGAGGCGATCAGCTGACGGCGGATTTAAATGCCGATTTAATTCCAGGTTTTCCTAAGCCGCAGGACATCGTCCTGATTGGCTAGTCGACCAGGCCGGACCGCAAGAGAACGTCCAGGTGATGGGCCCGAGTCGGGCCCGAGACAGATCCTGGCGGGCCTTACGCGACGGCGATGGTGCCCGGTGAAAGGCCAGAAAGGGGGCCCGCCCCCTCCCCGCGGCCGATGGCGAATCGCGATTGTTTTCGCGGACCGGGGGGGTGCACCCCCCGACACCCCTCGGGAGAGTTCGGGGCCCCGTCGAGGTGGAGGCGCCGTTCCCGGCCAATTGGTAGGGGTTAAGGTTTGCTCGTGACCAACCACGGGCGGGGATCGCTAAAGAAAGGCCCCGTGTATAAAAGAGCGGAGAGTCTCGACGTGGGGCATCACACCTCGACATGAAGGTGGGTACGCGAAGCCGCGACCGCGGTTTTTACCACACAGTGTAGTGCCATCACCTCATCGCTATCGCCATCGTAACAGTTTCCCATCTCGGCTTGATTCACAAACCATCACCCCAGTGTATCGAAAAATTCCCCAATTAATACCGAATTACCCGTTGCAGGTGCTCGCACTCATCCTCGTAGTGGCCCTGGCCTCCACGGCTTATGGTGAGCGAAAGAAGACGAGGATCCCGAGTGCCCCCCCGCGGAGCCTCGATTTAAACCCCGTTTTAATACCCCTGCAGTGATTAAGGTGGCACGAAAGTGGCGTCTCGAGTTCGACATGACACTTCCCTCCGAGATGGGTGAAATCGAATCGCGTTAAACAGCCTCACATGAATTTCAAGTCTCTAAGCGAGGTCCCTTCATCCATGAAATGTCAAATATCCTAAAATTTGTCATACGTTTTTTATTAAGTGTTTCTTGTCGATTCGGTTTTAACTATCCGGGGAATGGATTTTATGTACGGTATCAGTAGATGGCACTTTCGTGTCGCCTTAAATCCCGTTAATTGTTATCGGGGGTTGACAAATTCGTTCGCGTTTTCAGGGGGGTATATAAGCAGCGGCTGGTCCGGCGGTGGTGGAGGCTCAGGTTGGAACTATGGGGGCGGGGGAGGCAGCGGATGGAAATACGGGGGCGGAGGCGGCGGCGGTGGTGGCGGTAAGATCATCAAGGTGATCACTATCAGCGGCGGAGGGAGCGGCTGGCCCAGTGGGGGCGGAGGGGGCGGAGGAGGCTGGAACTACGGCGGGGGTGGCGGGAGTGGGTGGCCCAGTGGGTGGAAGCTGGGGGGTGGAGGTAGCGGATGGAAGTCCGGGAGCGGATGGTCCGGCGGCGGCAGCGGATGGTCCGGGGGCGGCGGAAGCGGATGGTCCGGGGGCGGCGGAAGCGGTAAGACTCACTTTCCCTCTCTCTCTATTTCCCCATGCTCGATCGACCCTCCACTAATCTATCGGTCCTCCACTTAAGGGCATTTCCAAACACTTTTTCCCGATTTCTCCCTCACGTTTCCAAACTCCCTACCCTCTGGGCGACCCGATTGTTTTTTCGGCAAACCGAGAGAAACTAACTATATAACATTTTTAAAATCAACCATTCGGTGTTAACTGTCTTTTAAACAAATTTAGAGTCGATAGAAATACTTGTAAATCGATGTGTTAATGAAATGACAATTTGTCAGGCGGCTCTTAACTAGACGATAGTCGGACAGAAAATAATTGAGAGTATATTTTTTAAATTGAATTTTTTTTATACCTGTATTTATGACCTCGAGATGACGGTGTTCGAAATTTCGACAATTTCATATTACCCGACTGCACTTTTAGAACCGATGTTCAAAATTCAGTTTCCCTCCCGTTTTATTCCGAGCGCCGACGTTTTCGGTTATACCAGTACATATCATTTAATTACTAGTTTTGCCGCATTGTATTTCCGAAAGTGTCGGACATGTCGAGACATTGTATTAACGGTGAGACCTGGGACACGTTTGCAGGCTGGTGGTAGAGAGGAGCAAGAGGACCCGGGGATCCCTCCCGGTCGGAAGGGGTCCAGGACTCGTCGATCACCCTAAGCTGCGATTACCGCGGTGACAAGGAACGGGAGGACCACGAAGAAGGGGGCCAGGTCGCAGAACATCGCGCCGGTGCGCACTAAGTCGGTCCCCAGGATGTCGAGATATGGATCAGGGATCGGCGGACACCTTTGTACCTTTCGCCAAATAAACTTTCTTGTAAACACGTGGGAAGTGCATATTTACGTGGGCGAGCCGTACGCGTTGTATACCGTATACATCTTGTATACAATGTATACCTTGTATTCCTTGTACACCTTGTCCCTCCACTAGGTGCGCCGAGTGCGCGCGCACCGTGACGCGTATAGAGACGCATCCGGCGGGAATCCTCCGGAGCCAACCTCGGGGAGGAAACCACCCCCGGCCATTCGGCACTTCCGGTGATTCGGAACTTCGCGGCGCTGCCGCGACGAACGACTTCCGCTTGGCGATTCCCTCGAAGCGGGGGAAAGGTTTCCCTCGAGTGCGGACGAACGTCTCGAGGATCCCCGAGACCGTCTCGGGCGGAACCCCGAGACATTACGCACCCTGGAAACCGCATGCAAAGTACCCCGTGACGACCGTCTACCCCGTGAAATATTAATATGAAATATTTTACACCTCCCGAAACCGTTGAACAATTTTTTTCTAATTATTCCGGGACGATGGATATCAAAGTACGGAGCGAAGTGTCACCCTCGACGCACCCCTGCGGGACAATCCTGAGGCAATTAGCCATCCCCGGAATTCCGCCCCACCTCGTGCGAGTCATTGAACGCGATTCCGCCCCGGAATCGGATCCCGTTTGCGGTTTATCAACCCCCTCCTGGAGGGTAGCGGCGACTCCGCGGCGGAAGTCTCGCGGCGACGAGTCGGCCCTCCCTTCCGGCTTGCTAATCCCGTTCGAGGACGATCGAATTAGCGCGAATCGGCCGCTAGGCGAAAACTCGAGAGGGGAACCGCACCTGCCGCGCGACCCCCGATTACAAATCTGACCAATTAAGCACATGGTGCGCGGGACGATCTATTAAAACGCGTCCCCTGCGTAATTGCCACCCTCGAGCGGCCCTCCACCGAGCGACGCGAGTCGCACCCCTTCAAACGAAGCCGCGAAAAAGTTACGGGGGGTGGGCCTTAAAAATTAGAAACAATAGAAAATGGGAAATGGGAGCAAAGAAACATCAACCCTACAGGTGTTGCATTGTTAGATTAGGTTTAGATTAGAGTAAAGCGGATAGATGCAAATGGGGGTGAGGGCGTTTCGTTCCGTGTGGGTAAGGTAGGTCAGCTGGGCGGTTCGAGGGGGGTTGGAGTACGGCTGAGGGGTTGAGGGGGAGAAGGGCGATGGGGGGATGTGGGGGATGTGGAAAGCGGCGAGGGGCAGGGGGATGGAGGCAGTGGCCGCATATCCTGAAAATTCCGCTGCGGCTCGGCGATAATTTATTATTCGGCGCCGGGCCGGGCGCACACACCCGGGGTTTCCGCGCCCGCTCGTCCGAGTGTGCACGCGCGACGCCGGTGGCCGGCCGCCGGAAAAATGGAGGAAAAAAACCGGAGGGCAATCGAGGTCGGCGAAAATTTCAGAGCTACCCTGCTCGATCCTTCTGCGCGGAAAAACGCCGCCCGAACTCGAAAGACGTTGGGGGTGGCGGGTGGCAGGGGGGAGTTGCGGCCATTGTTAAGACGAGTATATTAATCAGTTTCGTAATTATACCATTACGTGAACGAATTTAATGCATACTATATGAAGTACAGAATCGGGTGCCAGATCGTCCTCTTTCCGCACGTGATAAGGATTCCGCGCGCGATTAACGCGCTTCGAGGGAAGTGATTCGGTCCACTATTTCAGGGGGAAGGGGGTGAGAGCTGGGCGGGGACCGATAAAAATCGGGATCGCTGTAAAACCTCGGTGGCATATATATGTATATATATATATATAAAACTTCGACGCGGAAATCGCTGCGTGGGCCGGCCGGGAAATGGCCGTACGTGCAGGCCGGGATTTTCGTTATGGTTTCGCGCGCGACCACTTAGTGGCTTCTGGATTTATCGGGCGGGAGCCCGGGGGGAGGGCCTGGGGGTTGGGGCAACGGCGACGTCCCGCCATCCCCAGGGACCCGGTGGCGGGAGACGGGAGAGATAAAGACCCAGGGAGAGAGAGAGGGAGACCGCGGAAAGACGCTCCCATTCTCCCGCACCCTCTCGCCCGTTATCCGCCGCGTCCGGAATTTCGCGGTATAAAAATTACACGCGCTTCCATCTGCGAGCGATACCATCAATCTACAAGCTCCGGGGATAAAGGCAGCCGGAACGAGTCCCGCTGTGAATCGGCCGTTGATTCAGCGCGTCTTCTCCGCGCCCCTCCTGCCACCCCTTTCGCTTCTTTCAGGCGCACGCGAGAGAGCCGCGACACAGCTCGCTCACCCCCTAGCTCCCTCTCTCTCGCGCCCGCGGCTCTCATATAGCGCCGTCTCCCTCGCACCTACGTAACCGGCGCCTCCTTCGTCCCGGAGAAAGGGAGATTGAAATTGCGGATTAGGGCGTCTCCAGGGCCCGGGGGGGCGCGTCGCCTCGCGGAATCCTCGCGGCGTCGCGGCCGGACCGGAATCGCCCACGAGGGTCTCGCGGAGGGAAATCCAGATTAAGGGGGACCGACGCCCCCGATCGATACATCGATCGTCGCGTAGCGGTCTCTATCCCTCTCGTGTCGCCATTCGTTTTTCCGGCCCACCGAGTCCCGCGGGACTGTCGAGCGTTTTTCGAAAAATTCGACCCATTTCCGGGGTCATCTCCCCCATCCCACCCCCAGGGGGGTTGGTCGAACCGCGGCGGTCGCGTTTGATAAATATGAATTTCCCTCGATTCGGTTTCAAGTTCGATTCGAAAAGCAAGTCGAGTTGCCGCCCTTCAGCGGCCATCGCACTTTATCGCAAGGGCGCGACCTGCCCCCGGACCCCCCCAGCGGGGGAGGGAGTCGTCGTTCGTCGCGTCGATTCAAATTTTATTTCAATTACGAAACCGGCGTACCGACGGAGGTCGCCTCCCTCCCTTTCCCCCGTTCCCACCAAGTCGCCTCAGAGTTTCCTCCTGTGCCTTTCCTTTTTTTCTTTCGCCCCCCCTCCGCGCTCCTTCACCCCTCGCACCGCGAAATCTGAATTTAATTATGACCCTTCACGTAGCGCCCTCTCGCTCCTACGTGGCCTATCTCTTTCGCGCATCTGCGCCGACGGAAACTCCCGCTTTGCCCCCCGCCCCACCCACCCAGCCACCCACCGCCCGCTCTTTCGCGGCGGATCCAGGTGTCTCCCTCTCGCGAGAGGGAGCGAGAGGACCCGAGCGCTTCTTTCGTGCTCTTTTTCGTACACGTTTCCGTACGACGAACTCGCACCCCCCCACGAGGGGGAGGGTGGGCTGGAGCGGGGGATGCCTCTCTTTTCAGGGTTCCGCTCGCAACTCGCCCCTGCCGAGGGAGATCCCCTTTGCTCTTCAGAGAAATTCTAACCGTACCCCCTCCTTCCCTAGCCGTGGCGACAAAACGTCCCCCCCAGGAAACTCGAACACCCTCCCCCGCGAAGAAGCCCCCTGGGTATACGTTCGCCCGCCACCTGGTGTAAACCAACCCCGTGCTCGCGCGTCGATTGTCCCGCGAGGCCTTATGTACGGTAATTAAACTAATGCCAATTAAACGAATCGATGACCGTTGATTAATGACACCCCATTGACACCTACGCGGGGTTCTTTAGGCGGATCCATCCCCTTGAGAGGTCCGCGACGAAACAGGGGGCCAGGTTTTTCGGGGTACCTCGAAACACGACGTTTTACCCCCGGGAATGGGGCCGCACACCTCCCTCCCCCCTCGGCTATACTCAACTCGCCCCCTGGGTGAGCTTCGCCGGAGAATCCTGAGATTCCGCAAACGACATCGATTACGCGACCAATTTGCGCGGTGGCTCGCGCCACCCCTGGATTGGGTAGCGGGGGGAATCGCCCCCGGGCGCGCCGCGAAGTTCCGACGAGTAACGAGAGTTAGCCCGGGCTCCCTCGAGGAAAGTTGTTCCCCGGAATTCGGCGCGCTCGGTTGAAATTCGTTTCCTTACCCCTTTTTTCCCTTTTCCATTTCGCTTTCCCGTTCCCTTTGAATTTTTGTTTCCCGCACGGGGGGATCGATCAACGCGAGGGGAGGTTCCTGGGGCATTGTCGGCGCGAAGATGGGGGGGGATGCCCGCCCATCGTCGAGGTGCATCGAGCGGATGCGTGTCAGCGGGAGGTCGCGCCTCCTCTGGTTGGTAAGTGGGGAAGTGGATGTCGAGGCGAGACTAAATTTGTGCAAACCGGCGCGTCT